TATGATCTGTGGATTTATGTTTAAGCATGTTTTTGCTAATCTGGTGTCTACATTATGATGTTACAAACTGTATTTCCCACACATGTGTTTCGTGAGATTTTCAGCTCTGATGTCCTGTTGTTAAATCTGTGGTAGTCTGTAGGGGAATTTAGAGTTCATAAGTTTGTTGGTTTCAGAATACTAAAAACTGGATTTCTGGGGAAAGCAGGTAGTCTCGATGTTCTCTGTGTCACAGAGTGTGTTCTTTATGGGATATTGCTTTTCTGTGTGACATGTGAACTCTATAGAATAACTTTTCAAGTCAGTTTTCTGATTAAAAAAACCCCTTGGAATCTTAGAAGCTTGATATTTGCCTGAGTGTTTAAATGCTGTTTGCAAATATAGACAAAAACTCTGTTATATATATATAAATTAGTGGTTGCCGTTTCTTCCTTTTGCATATGTTGTTCAGTACAACAGCAATTCACAGATGCCTATTTCCTGTCTTCATGGTCAGGAGAATGGGAGTTATAGAACTTTACATTATGAAAAAGATATTATTCCTGTCAGTAAACTACTTTAGCTACTGAGGAATGAGGAAGAGCATTGCAGGAAGAGCACTGGACTAGGTATCAGGCACAATTAGATTTTTTTTCCTCCTGAATTTTTGAATTCTGGAAAGTAATAGCCTATTAAAATTTGAGTCCTATCCTTTGATAAAACGGAAATATTATCTACTGACCTGTCTCAAGGGGGTAATAGGTAAAAGTAAGTAATTTGAAATATATGTTCCTACCTGGATAATACTTGTCTAACTCAGGTGCATCCTAGCTGCCCTTAATGATGTCAGCCAAGGAAATTTCATGTCTGACATAGCCCTGGGCCGATGAGAAACATTTTGTTATAGTATAACAGGGTGGTCCTGATACCAGAATTGTCAGGCCTAGTCTCCCAGCCAGGAATGGATCCAGGCTGCAGGGCAGCGCTGAGTCCCAGCCCCTAGACCAACACGGGTGGGTGTCTCATGAAGCCGCAGCAGGAACTTCGCAGACACTCGGGCAAGCAAGCGAGAAGAGGCAGGTTTGTTTAGAGAAAGAAAAAATTTATTGAGGAGAAAAGCAACAGAAATAAAGCGGGACTCCCAGGCCAGGGAACCAGGCCAGGGAGGGGCAAGGAAGCCGAAGTGGAGTCGTGTCTCAGGGAATATAGACCTTCTTTCCCTGATTATTCTAAAGCTCCACCAGTCTCTTTGTGATTGGTGAGTTCTCGGCTGTCTCACTTAATCTGCTACTAAGAGGGGGATCTTTACATTCCTTATCTAACAGGTTTGTCTTTCCCCATTTGTTGCCTCTTCCCCCTTGTTTGATAGCTTTATCTGTATGACCCGGTCTCCCAAATGAGCACACCTGCATTTTAGGGACAAGAAAGTCAAACATCAGCTATTGAAGAAAAAAACAGGCTGGCACCCACCGGTCTCAGTGCTGACCCCTTCTCATCTCCTCCTTGCATAAATGAGTCTGCTGCCCTAATTAAACCACTCTCCGTTTCCCAAACTCCACCATCCTTTATCACCTGAAGGAAACCAAGGCCAGCGTTAACACATTCCTCTTGCTGCCCTTATCTCTGAAGCCTTCCTTAATTCTCCCTAGGTCCCCACCTGCACTGTCCTTGAGGCTGCCTGATTCTCCCTAACTTGCCCTCGGATTCAGTCCCCTCCCTGCCCTGTAACAATAGCAGTAGACATCTGGAAAGAGCCTAGTGTGTGCTATACTTTTTTAATTGATTTGGGTTCCCAGGAAACTTTGTTAGCATCAGGCTTTAGTTTTATCTCTTCCCCTACCATCTGCTGTTGGCTATTTAAATGGACTTTGGCTCTGATCTGGAAGCTGATTTCTTCCTTTGTGTCTCTGATGAAATCAGTTTCCAGACCTAAATCTTTTGCCTAATTTCTGCTGGTCTCCATCCAGGGACTGTTTGTTGATGGTTTGCAGAATCTTTTCTATCATCTTGCCCAGTTATCCAAGAATAATGACTTCATCCCAATATCCTGAAGAACTTCCCTATCCTGAGACTTTGATGAGGTATCTTCATTCCATGCCTCTTGGGTGACTCTGATCCTGGCCTGCACCAAATGTGCCTTTACGCCCTCTCTTGATTTTGGTGTAGACCAACTTCCAGCCAGGGAGTGACTGCTCCGATTAGTCATCTTGCTTCCTTTCTTTGTACCAAACAGGTGCACTCCCAAATCATTTTTTCCTTAGGAGTTGCAACATGCCTTGTATCTGGGGCAGAAAGGAATGAGTGCTAAGATATAAGCACACTGTATCTTCACTGGCAACTTCTGTCAATGTCACTAGAAGGTCACAATGTCACTAATAGGACTTTTAGTATATAAAATATCTTTTTTAAAAAAGATTTATTTATGCATACAAGAGCTGGGTTACCGGCCAGAGGTGTGGGGGTGAGAGGATTCACCAGAGACAGATTGGGGAGCAGAACAGGCAGACTGACTGAAATCCACTGCTGAGGGTAGCAGTGGGCGAGTCAGGAGAGGTCTGCTGTGCCATGTGGGTTGCTCCCTGGTCGGCTGGAGATTGAACTCGTGCTGCAGCAGCTGCGGATTGCTTCATAGTGTGGTGCTTAACCCCCTGAGCCACCAGGGAGGCCCCAATAAATTATCTTTTTAATGTCTTTCTCTCCACACTGAGAAGCAAAGCTCAACCCATACTTTCACTGATTAAGTTATCAAAATCAGGGCAAAAGTTTATATCTAAGTAACTTTAACATCTGAGGCATGGTGTTACTGTTTCTGAATATATTTTATCAAATATGTTTAACTTTTGGTTTGCATGTCTATAAATAAATGCACTGTATTATTCCAAGATATTATTAAACTTCTATTTCTTTGAACTGTACTTTTACATTGTATGAAACATTTGCAAAGATTTGGGGAAAGTAGGAAGCTTTTAGAAAACTTCCAGGAGTGGTTTTTTTTTTTTTTTAATAGAAGATAAATGAGTTAATTGGAATTGCAATCAAGGAAAAGGAAAAGATATTTTGAATCTAGGGCTCCTTTTTTCTTACCATCATGTCAGGAAATTCTGATTATAAAATTCCTTACGTAGGCATAATAAATAATTTCTGACAAAAGCGATTGTGGGAACACAAACTAGCTGACACCTAAAAAGCAAATGCCAAACTCCCTAAACAATTCTGTTTCCTTGAACTTTCAACTTAAAGTGAATAGAGAAGAAAAAAAGTCTCAGGGTAAAACATAAAGTTAGTACTGCAGAGAAAACTGTACCCATGTTCTGTTTTTTGTTTATTTAGTGTAAAATGTATGCTTGGTATCTGACAGAAGTTATCATGTCTGAATCTGTGTTCCAAAGAAAGGAAATTGCTTTTTATCCATTGGCATATTAGGTAGTATATAGACTTTATCTATTCTCAATTCCTCTCTGTTTTAGAATAAATCACTAATATCATCTAGTTTACTTTTATTAATGTATTTAGAATAAATCAAAATTATTCTGGTTACTTTGCATGGTTTTTGGCCATGGGTGCTAAATCAAGGGTAGACAAAAAATCTGGTGTCTTGAAGGATGAGGGACAATTTGATGGAAGCTAAGTTTATTTATTTATTTTTATCTGAATTAAAATGATCTTGCTTGGTTGTATCATTACAGGGAGGGGGATGGACACCCCATGACCCCCAAAACTTCCTGCTCTAGATAGTTTCTGCCATCCATGGCATCAAGACAAAACATTCTAGTGCATAAGACCTTTAATGGAAAAGAACTTTAATACAATTAATGTACAGTAAGGAGAAGAGAAGGGAAAGGATAGATAAAACAATTTTCACTCGAGTCACCCAGAGTTACCCATCACCTCATGGGGAAATGCCCAACCAAACAGGGTTGGCCCAAATTCGGGCCACTGAACTTGCCCAAAAGCTTGCCACAAATCTAAGGTACCTTCTGGTGCAGACACATAAGAAAGGGGCAGAAGAGCCCAGGGAAGTTGGGAAGGAGAAGAATAAAATCAAAATCAAGATAAACACTGCCGTTGTCAACCTCCCCATGGGTCTCTCACCCATGTCTGTTTCAAGTGTGTCCTTCCATCTCCCCCTGTTACAGGGCAGTCGCGATATAAAACGGGTTGCCTGGACATCCTTTTCCCCCTAACACTTCAAGTCCCTGGTACAAGTCCAAGGCCAAGAAGAAAGTGCAGCTACTTCCCATGTCTCTCTGTAACTTGTGCCTCTTCCAGGTCCCTTTCTTGGTCTCCTCCTTCCTTTCTCTTCTTCTTTTCTTCCTTCCTCCCTCCCCCCCATTCCTCTCTGCAGCTTCTCCTCCTTGCTCAGCTCCACCCTTCTTTGGGTGGGGTGGGGAACCTGGAAACGCCCCTTTTCCTGGGAGTTTAACAAATTTTCAATGAAGAAAAATGTATACATCACACTACCTGATATACAATTACACTTTCCAAGGACTTGAAAAATCAGAGGAATCTAGACAACATCTAGGATTTTGCAAGTGAGAAACTGATCATTTCATGGGGCAAAGTGCAGAGGCAATGAATGTTTAGGATTGATGTTTCTACTAGATTACTTCTGAGGTTCCATTCAATAAATTCATTGAAATGGAGATGAAGAGAGTGTAAGGAATTTGCCTAAGGTAACCTAGTTTATTAGGGCAGGGAGAACCTGGAGCAGAATTCAGGTTTCCGGTCTTTTTCCATTTGCGAATCTTCATGCTTAAAGGTATTTGAAACTCAAACCAGTGAAGCACTTGGGATAGTACATTCTGAGGAAACAACCTAGACCTGGCAACCACATTCTTACCTTTGGATTATCTTTTGATCCCCACTCTGGTGAGTCACATAGTAAAATAACATTGGCATACTGAAATGCCATATCAGGAACTAATTAAGAGGGGGAAAAAACAACTCAAACTTTGTGGTTTCCTCTGAATTTTTTGACAGCTGTAATTTTGAGTGCTGACCTGCTTTGAATGCAAGTTTCTCATGAGAGTTGGTACTTTTGGTGGATAAAACAGCTCCTCCTACATAGAGACTTCAGTTCTAAGGTCATTTAAAATGCATTAAGCTGGGAAGCTGTTCATTGAGAGAGATTTCAGTGGCATTGCAGAAGAACTTGATTACAACAGGATACATTATTCAGTTATAGTAAGTTTGGAACTTAAATTTGGGGAAGGAATGTATGGGATGAGATATATCTTTTTGTGACAAAAGTAGTTTGTCTTGCTATAACATTAATTTGGGAGAATACTGCATTTTTTTTGCATGAAATTAATTAAGAGGTGCTGGATAATCAGTATAAATAACACTGTTGCTTTTAATTTTTATTGTTTTCTTATTAGCTTTTATTTCCTATAAAAAACTTTAACAAGCAAAACTGGTTCTTTGAAAATGGTAAGTATAGTTGCATTTTATAGTTAAGAGATTTTCTGCTTTTTTTCTATAAATGATTATTTCCCACTTTGCTGTAACTTTTCTCTCTTAAGCTCATAAATAATAATAGTGCTCCTTTAAAATGAGTAACTTAATATATAGTTATATGATATTTCGATTTAATTTGTGGGACATGCATATCCTGTATATGTGATGGTTTCATTTATTTGTATGTTATGGTTACATATATTGGAGGGTTATTAAAATAAAAATTCTAATATTTACTGATTTTGCTTTGAAATTAAGTAGATTTTGACATTTGATGCTTGTTTGCCTCTGAAAGAATACATAGTTAACACTTAAATCTGACCATTATTTTTATACATTGTACTTACTTTGAATATTTCCACATTAGTTTTCTTTTTTGTTATTATGTAAGAGGGTATATAAAATGAGGGCATGAATACAGGGGATTTACCAGTTGTTTTAGAAATTTTATCCACTATCCACATAATATTTCAAACAGTTCAAGACTTAAGTAAATCTCATGGAATTATTATTATTATTATTATTATTATTATTATTATTCATAGGGAATAATAAGCTAAGGACTAAGAGATCTGTTTTTTAGTTTTATATCTTTTACCTTATATATATGTATGTATATGTGTGTGTGTGTGTGTGTGTGTGTGTGTATAACCATGGGCTAAACATTCCACCCCTCTTGGTTCTTGTTTCTTTATCTGTAAAAGGAACCAAATGTCCTGAATCTGCCTAATGTTACAAAAGGCAATAGAAATGTTAGAAATGATTATATAAAAAATGATTAAGCAAAGGAAGAGGCAGAACAATTATAGCATTCTTTTTATTTTACTATTATCTGTAATGAAAGCTACTTTTAGTGTAATTTTTGAAAATCAGAGAAATGTTACCTGTATTTTGCTACAAATTGAAGGAATGGGGGGGGGCAGGTAAATAGTTTGCTTTGTTTCTTCTGAAATATTTTTCAGAGTTTCTTCAAGGAATTGAAAAGAGGTAGCTCATCAGTATGGAAGAAACAAAAAGCAACTCATTACAATTGTTTACAATTGGCCTTTTTGTTGCGGATATTTTAAGTGTAATTTAATCATTTCCTAAAATTGTGGTGGCAAGTGTTGCAGCCTTTGTTTTCTAGCTATAAAATTGAGATATACAAAACTGAAGTGCTTGCCCAGATCTGTGTGAGTATAACGTCCATGCTGTGTCCACTATTCCATCCTGCCTTTTTTTAAAAAAATATTTATTTATATATACATACAAGAACTGGGGTACAGGCCAGAGGTGTGGGGAGGGGGTGAGAGGATTCACCAGAGACAGAGTGGGCAACAGAACAGGTAGATCTACTAAAATACATTGCTGAGAGAGAGGAAACAGGAGAGGTCTGCTGTGCCATGTGGGTAGCTCCCTGGCTGGCTGCAGAGACTGCTGATAGCTTCATAGTGCTGTGCTTAACCCCTTGTACCACCAGGAAGGCCCTATTCCATGTTGCTTTTATGGATATGCTGAGGCAATACTGAGAACATAAGGCCTTTGGAATTATGTCTTCCATAATTCTGTGGGGTCAAGAATTACAGCGGGGGCTTCCCCGGTGGCGCAGCGGTTGAGCGCTGGGTTGCGAAGCTGCCAGCAGCTTCTGCAGCACCGGTTCGATCCCCGGTTGCTCCATGGTCACCGGAGAAGGGTCCCACATGGCGCGCAGACCTCTCCAGCAGCCCACTGCTCCCCTCAGCAGTGTACTTAGGTCCTTCTGCCTGCTCTGCTCCCCGCTCTGGCTCTGATGAATTCTCTCACCCTCCCACGCTTCTGACTGCACCCAGTGCTTGTATAAATAAATAAATAAATCTTTAAAAAAAAAAAAGAATTACAGCGGTAGGATAGTATACAGGAGTCAGGGTAGGTTGGCAGGTACATACATGGTATGATTTGGGAGGCACACCACACAAATATGCCTACCCACAAATATCTTCACTGGATTGTCATAGACACTCAACATGAGATTTTAGGGTTTTTATGTTTGTTTGTTTTGTTTTTCCTTGTCAGTGGGGAAAGCTGGAGGGGGGCTTTCAAATGCACATACACTTAAGAGAATTCATATATGAAATCTTTTATCACTTAATACTTTAGTATTTAGTATTTTTCCTATTCCAGGAATAGAAAAGAAGTCATATTTTGCAGCCAGGAAAAGCTGGAATTGAGTTCTGATTCTACCATATATTGTATAGCTTGCACATGATAATCTATTCTAGCTTCACTTTCTTCTTGAGTAAGACAGAGATAATGCTTATGCATAGACACTTAAAACAACCACAATGCATTGAACATCTGGTATGAATAACTGTGGCAGAGTGGGAAGGGCACTGGAATTGAAGTCAGGAAATTTTGTGTCATCGCCCACCTGTTTCACTCTTTTATCTATTACTGTCATGCACTGTGCTAGGCACTGTGGATACAATATGGAACAATTGAAACCCCTGCTTTCCTATATCTTAAATTTTATTTTAGTGCTAACCTACCTATTTCTATATCCTGTTCATGTAGAGAAGAATTAATGTTCTTCACATTTTAGAGGTGGGAAGGTAGGGATTAAATGATACATTGGTGAGCAAAATAAATATGATCCTTTGCCTCATTGAGTTTATATTTTAACATAGTATAAACTAGTGAGATAATCCCACAAATAAATACAGGATTAAAGCCATTATAAGTCTTGAAAGGTAGTCAGTGCTTATCTCTTTACTTGTTGCTCAGATTCTTCTAGATTTCCCTCATCTCTGCTACAGTCTATGGGTGGCTATTGCAAGCTTTCTGCTCTTTTTAACTCTCCTATTCACGTACTGTTTGCTTACTCTCAAGTGGTGAGTTTGTCTCCTATTTCATAAAAGCTGGAAGGTGTTGAACCTCTTATTCATCCACTTGTCATCTTTTATGTGCATGTTGATTTGCATTTTCACCCATGTTTTTGTCCTATCAGAGGAAAAAAGTAGCTTTCTTTTTTTTCATGTTTGGCAATTTTATTTATTTTTATTTTTTAATTTTTTTTTATTTTATATATTTTTACATGGTTTTTCATTTTTGCACAATGTATGCATTTTCATCTTGGTTATAGTCCCCATACAATTCCCACCACCCTTATTTTGATCCTACTCCCTTCTCCCTCCACCCCATAGTATGTCACTGGTTTATAGTTGCTTGTTGATTTTGATTTTTACTTTCTTATAATTAGTCTTTTTCCTGGTTTCTTATTTAGGTTTTCTAAATTCCTGCTATGAGTGAGGCCATCTGCTATTTTTCTTTTTCTTTCTGGCTTATTTTGCTGAGCATAATCCCTTCCAGCTCCATCCATGTTGCTGCAAATTGCATGAGTTTATCTCTTTTGATTGCTGAGTAATATTCCATGGTGTATATGCACCCCTATGTTTATAGCAGCACTATTTACAATAGGTAAGCTATGGAAACAACCCAAGTGCCCCAAAATAGATGACTGGATCAAGAAGATGTGGTACTTATACACAAAAGTAGCTTTCTATCAGCCCAAGTTTAATGTCTCCACCTTTGTTTTAGACCCACGCTGTCTTGCTTTTCAGAGATCTCTTTAACTGCTTCCTTCCGCTTGTATTTTTAACCTCTTTGTCTCGAAACAAAAGGACACATTTTCTTAACTCTTCCCTGCACAGTCAAGACCTGTACAACACATACAACCAAGTTCCCATGAAAGTATATAGTAGTATATAGTAGTCCAAACATATCACTGCCTTTACCTAGGTCACTAATTGTTTCTTATTTCCGAAACAATGGACAACAGACAAATTTCAGTTCCTTCCTACATGTGCCCCACCCCCACTCCTTTTTTGGCATGTGAAGCACTTTGCTTTTTAATGCTTCTTCCTCCAAATCTTCTGCTTCATTAGTTTCCAAGATATTACTCTCTCCTGTCAGTACCCACTTATCACCCTCAGGATTAAGGCCAAAGTCTTTTTTAAAAAAATATTTTATTTTATATAATTCTTACATCATTTTTCATCCTTATACAATGTATGCATTTTCATTATGGTTACATTCCCCATACAATTGCACCCCCCCCTTATTTTGACTGTAGTCCTTCCTCTCCCCGCACCCCCCCGCCCAGTGTGTCTCTGGTTTATAGTTACTTGTTGATTTTGATTTTTACTTTGTATTGATTAGTCTTTTTCCTGGTCTCTTATCTTAACTCTGAAGGCATGCCTATGTAGATATTATACTGCAATCCCCCCCTCCCCTCCAAAAAGCGAACTACTTGTAGATCCCTGAGTTCATTAAGCTTTTTCACTTTACAGTTTTTGCTTAAATAGTTACCATTAAGAAAAAAATCCTTCTCCAAATTATCCCTTGCCCTCTTGGCAAAGACCTTATCTATGAGCTAGTTTAGTTTCTATTTCCCCTAGGAACTTTTACTTCCCACTGCCACTCCCGAGAGTAGGTTAAGTACTTACTTGTCCTATATGCTTCTAAGCGATTGCTTCTCTTGGAATATGTCACGTCTTATTACAATTGAAGTATGAAGTTAGTCCACAAACTTGGTAATACAAGAAATTTCACATTTTAAAGTGTTCTTTAAGCAACCTTTATAGTCAACATCCTGCCAGGAACATAAGCTATGCAATATCAGTCAATACTTTAGTCTCCTAATGGGTTATGCAAATATTCTGAGGTCTTATGCAACACCAAAAAAGTACTTGGGAGGCCCTTTTAGTCATTAA